AAAACTAACCCAGGTCAGCTAACGGCATCAACAGAAGACACATTGGCTTCACTTGCTGGGCCTTTTTGCACCTTATAGCAACTCTCTGGAAGCAGCAGAATTATTTTGAGCCTGTCTTTGGCCAATCCAAATAAAGCAGATCCAGCAATACAAAGTTTAATGAAGTTTAAACACAAGGGGTTCAAAGTGAAGTGTGCTCCGCCAGTTTACAAGTCAGGTGGCATTTTCAGTCCTGGCCAACTTTCTAGCGCCCGTCTTCAAGGAAGTGGAGGAGGGCATGGTCAAAAGCATTAACAGCCATCAGCCTCCTGGCTTCGCTCACTCCAAGGTGGAAAGTGGAGGCCAAGCAACGAAGCAGTCCTCCTCCTCCTCCTCCTCCCTAAGATCCTGTCCCAAAGGTGCTTTTCAAAAATCAACTGGGCTTTCTTGGTCTCTTTCCCTGAAAACATTCTCATCCAATAAGCTTCTTCAGGGAAAGCCAGTTATTCAGTGAAGAACTGAAGAAGCTACTTGGATGAGAGGCAGGATGTTTTCAGGGAAAGGAAATAAGAAAAGTCCAGTTGCCCCTTGAAAATCACCTTTGGGACCACCATGACCTGGAGGATTGAGAATCTCCACAGGCATCCTGGTTGCACCCTTCCCCAGATCACCAGCCCTGGGACCCGTTTGCCATACAGTGCCCAAAATTAAAAGTGGTTCTTTCGCCATTTGGTTCTGCCGTCCAAGGACGCCAGGAAGGCGATTTTCTCACAAAGTTTTGCCAGCACCTGAACTCTCCCTGGCAAAACTGGTGAAGTGCCTTTCCGTATTAGCAGAAGCAGCCCAAGTGTGGCAGAGGCTGATCCCAAACGAACTGGGGCCATGGGAACACCTCACCTGCCGAAAGAGCACTGATTTGAGGAAATGTTGTGGAGGCCCTGTGGCGCTTTCTCACTTTTTTGAGTGTTTTCTGCAACCCGAGCCATAAATATTGGACCAAAATGAGAAGCGGGAGGATTCTATGGGCGGCTTCCATATTCCAGGTACATATACTCAGCAGCACAACTAGAATGGGGGGGGGGGAGCATGGGAAAGGAACCCAGCGCTCCCATCCTCCTAAGAGGAATTCCGGGATCCCCCAAAGGCACCTTAAGAGTGCAGAGCTACATGTCTGCATAACACGTTTGGGTGGAATGTGCAGCCCCAGAGCCTCTCTCGAAAACAGCTCTCCAAATAACAAAAGGACAAGGCTATTTTTCGGCCTTGGACTGGGAACAGAGGGCCGATGTGTTGTCAATCCAGATTCAGGTTAAGTGATTTGCCTTCCTGACGCGGCCCCAATTATTTCACAGCAAATGCCTATTTTCCTGCCCGAAATTTGGGTTTCCATGAAAAGGGCTGCACTTGGCACCAGAACAACCCTCCACCCCCCCCCCCCATGAAGGCCCAAAGAGCCAAACCATAACAAGCCAGAACGCACGACTGCAACCCTGCGTACCCCACACCTCCCACGGCTCCCCCAGCCCCTTCCTGGCAGTTGGGAGCAGATGACGGTGACAGCAGCTTGCAACCCACATTTCTCCCCACTCATTCAATGGTGTTTTTTTTTGCTTTCCCTCCACCCGAGCAGCGGCTCCCTTCCATCCCATCATGGTTTTGTTTTTAAGGATAAAGTGACAGCTTTTAATAAATATATAAAAATTAATAAATAACAGCAACATAGTTGACAACAGAAAAAGGCGAAGGAAGGTTAGGCTGAGAGGCAAGCGAGCCGTCCTGCATTTCGGACATCAACTCAGAATCCGTTAGAAGCCGGGGAAGAAAACGGTTCAAGTTATTGCAACATCCAACCACAAAGCGGATCAATCACCGGACAGCCGAGGGCGGAAGGACTGCCGGCCCTCGGGCTCTAGGAACGGAGGCCACACCAGGTCAAGAACACTTTTATTAATATGCGCTACAAAAATAAGGGGAGGACGGCCGTCGAGTCGCCTCCGAGGTGCCTCGCTTCTCTCTGCAAACGGCACCCGTTCCAAACTATAGACAATATGCACAAATCAGGACAGTCTAAACTCGCCGGGAAACGTGCCTTGTGGATCTTGTGGTGGTGGTGGTGGGCTGCCCACGAGTCTTCCTTCTGTGATGGTTCTCTGCCCCACCCCGCCCCCCACCCCAATTTGCATCACAGCCACTTCGTGCCTCTGCAGGTCTTCTCCGGCAGGCGGGCAGGTGGGCGAGGAGGGGCCTTCCGGCTTGAATTCTACTCTGCAAAGCAAGAGATGGGAAGGCAGGCGGGCAGCACCTGCTCTCCGGCCACAGGGGTAGTAGCCTTGCGTACCTGCTGGATACCTGTGGGAGGGCTTATTTACAAGAAGAATATCAAAACCTTCAAACTAGCCATTTTATTAAATGTATTCATGTACAATGCAGAGACTGCTGTGTCCCACAGAGATTCTCCAGTCTCCCTCCCTGTTTCTACCCCCTTCCCCACCCCCCACCCCCCACACAAGAAAACACTGGAAAGTAAGTCAAGCCAACACAATACCCAGATCTTTAAACAGGCACAAAAATAAAAAGCACAGCAAATGGTTATTTACAGTGTTTTCCAAAGGGCGAGTCTGGGTTTGCTCCCCCCCTTCCTCATTTTAAATATTGCCCTGCAGGCATCTCTCTCTGCTGATATCCAATACCCTCCCCCCCCCAAATGACCTAATTTGATGGAAGGGGGCTCTCCCCACCTTCATAAAACTTCCCTTGGAAGCTCCTGATCCCCTGCCTCCCAGTTCCTCCCCAGAGACGCTGGCGGTTCTCTGGGAAAACAGGGAAAGGCTGCAAAATTTAATTTCTGTTGTCCTCCAGCTCCTCCGGACCCTTCCGGACCCCCCCTCCAGTGAAATGCAAAAGGAACAGAGAAGCAAAGGCAAAACAAGCCAGATGGGGAAGCGTCCCCTCCTTCCGAAGGAGCCTGGTTTGTCTTGCTACTCTCTACACACATCGTGGGTATGTTCGCTGCCTGTCCCTTAACAGGGAACGGTTTAACGTGAAAGCATGAAACCTGGGGACAAAAGAAAATGGCCGGGGCTTGGGGGGAGAGAAGACGACACAGTTTCACCATTAAAAGTTTTTTTTTTTCCCCCCATTCTATTCCTGCCAATTGCCGAAAAATTTCTCTTATTTTGGGGTGGCAATTTTAAGAACCGGGAGCCCTTCGGACTAACCCAGTCCGAGACACCGGAGCTCAAAGATCCACAAAAGTGCCAGGAGAAATGGGGGGGGCAGTCGAAATAAGGGGCCACCCCGAGGACAGCCAAGTGCTTTGGCTCACCCGGCACAAGACATTTACATCCGGAAGCTGAGATGCCACCTGTGAAACCGTTGAGGGCAGGGAGCCTCTTTGCCTCGGTGGGTTAGATAGAGCGCAAGTGGGCTTCTCTCCCCCCCCCTCCCCAAAAGCCCCCCACAACTAAAGCTGCATCAGGAGGGCCGCAATCATGCAGGAAAGCAGAGATGTTACGCATCAGCCACGTGGCTGGTTTTCTTCAGCTGCAGGAGAAAACAGGAGGTTTTTTTCCCAGGGAAGCATCAGGCCCAAACTAGGGGGGGGGGGGNACCCACCTCGGAAGGATGGAAGGCTGAGTCAACCTTGAGCCTGGTGGGATTTGAACAGCTGAACTGCTGAACTGCAGTCAGCCTGAAGTAGCCTGCAGTGCTGCATTTAACCACTGCGCCACCTTGGCTCAAAATGCACTTCCCGGAGTCCTTCGGGATTGGGCGGCATATAAATCTTGATAATTAAATTAAATTAAACTGTCTACAAATGATCAAAACAGCCTAAAAAAAACCCCTGGCCTCTGCTGTATTTTTAAGGGAATCCCCACTTTGGGAAAACCAGAAATAAATCAGAGTTAGCCACCTGGCTCCACTTCAATCTCTCTATCAAAAAGGTTTCCAGGGTCTTGGGGACTCCCTGCCACTAGAGGTGAGGCCTGACCCTTTCCGGTTGCTCTCGGGGCGGCAAAAGACCTCGGGATCCTTTTAAAAATTAGGTCACCCCGGCTGCCAAAGTAGGTTGCGGCGAACTTCTGCGTTGTTTTTGATTGTGCTTTTTAATTACAGGTTTACCGCTCATCCTCCAGGACAAGTTTTGCCCAAGGACGATTAAGTGAAAAAGAACGAAGTAAATAAAAACCGCAATGCCAATTTTTTTCTGGGGAAAAAAATGCTGGCTCATCCGTGGGTCACCCGTGGCAACGTCCAAGTTGTTTTGGTGGAAAAAACAATCCTCCTTATTCAGATCATCGGCCTTTTTTTTTCGCCCGGACTTCCTGTTTCCTTAAAACAGCGGCTCTGCGGCAACGGGCGCTTAAGGTAGACTGCTCCTGACCACAGAGGCTCTACGTTGGAACACGGTGACTAAGAAAACTGCAAAGCCTCCTTCTCACATCCTGTGGCGGCCCTCCAAGCCGCTCTGTTCCCGTTTCCAAAACGTGTGTCAGCCACACGGAAGCCTTGAGCAACTAGTTCCACTCCCCAGACGGGTTAATTTACAGGATTAAAATCTGGGCTGGGACGTCCCCAGCGGGGAAGCAGCGGCTGTGGGCACCGCCAAGAGCTTGGAAGCCTGTCCATTAAAGCAGAGAAGAGCTCCAGCTGGACGAGGGCAGAAGTGCCACGTTCTGAAGCTCCCCAAAAAATGGGCAGATTCGACTCGCCTGGCATATTTGGGTTAAAGCAGTGGTTCCCAAACTTGGCAACTTTTAAGACTTGTGGACTTCAACTCCCAGAATTCTCCAGGCAGCCTTGGAGGGCTCCAACTTTGGCCACTTTTAAGACTTGTGGACTTCAACTCCCAGAATTCCCCAGCCAGCCACAAGGGAATTCTGGGAATTGAAGTCCACAAGTCTTAAAGTTGCCAAGTTTGGGAACCACTGGGTTAAAGAAACAACAGGGACGATTGACCTCTGCCAATGTCCACCTAAAAGGGGCCAAAGGCTGCCTTTCTGTCCTCCCACACAGGGCCTCTGAAGGGGATGGACTACAATACCCATCAGGAGCCCCGGATTGAAGGGATCCTACCTTGAAGAGCTCCAGCAGATCCTCCCGGGACACCTCCAGCCGTTCAAAAGGGACCTTGGCTGCGATGGTCCCTTTGCAGAGTTCTTCCAGGACAGGGAGGTCTTTACTGGACACCTTCCTGGGGTGGGAAGATTCGGGGATGGGGGGCGGGTGGGGGGAAGCTGTAATTAAACTGGGGGCATTGGGGGGAAATTGAGCCACCAAGGGAAGAGTTCTTCCTCCTCTTTGCCAGGGTCTTTTTAAGCCTGCCTATGCCTTGGGGATCTCCTGGTGGTCCCCCTTCCGAGTCAGCTTAAACAATGCTGCCACCTGCTGGGCCCTTCTACCCACTTCACAGCACAGCCTGCGAGGACACCTAGTGGGCGTTAAAAGTACGACAGGCTCCTTCATTGACGTGAGCGGCACCTCCCTCCAATGGGGGCACTGACAGGGCAGAAAGGGCAAAGGAGGAGGGATTACACAATATCCATTCCTTTTGTTTACAGAATCCGGCAGCCTGAAGGGACCCCCCCCCCCCGAGGCCATCCAGACCAACCCCTGCTCAGTGCAGAAAACACAGCAAAAAACAACAGTGAACGGAGCCACCCCACCTCCTCTCGGGGCTGTTAACGTCCTGCCCGAACTTTGCCCGGGTTCCCACCTACCGTTCCTCGTCCAAATACAGGTCGTAGAAGAAGCCCTCGTCGGTACTGGGCCCGTGGCACAGCAGGGCTCCATAGAAGCGCTCAGCAGCCTCGCCGAGGAGGTGGGCGCTGGAATGCCAGAAGAGCTGGGGAGAAATTCAGGGAGAGGGTCCGTCGGGCACCGGCCTTCCTGGGGGCACTGAGCAGCGTTGAGAGAGACGTAGGGAAGGACATGGGGGCAAAAGATGGGCCCCTTTCTTGGAAGTGGTCCTTCCGAGCTCAGCTCGAAAAGGACCCCTCTTTGGTGGCGCAGTGGTTAAATGCAGCATTGCAGGCTACTTCAGCTGACTGCAGTTCTGCAGTTCGGCTGTTCAAATCTCACCGACTCAAGGTTGACTCAGCCTTCCATCCTTCTGAGGTGGGTGAAATGAGGATCCGGATTGTTGTTGGGGGCGATATGCTGACTCTGTAAACCTCTTAGAGAGGGCTGAAAGCCCTATGAAGCGGTATACAAGTCTAACTATTGCTATCTTTTCTTAGGGGGGGGGGGGGAGGTGCCCTTGGCAGACTGAAGCGCTGCCAACCGAAGGCTGAGCCTGCAACCTGTTGCGATATACGCGCAGGCATACGTTAGCTATGCTGAAACACGTATAGAAGTAATGACTAACCATATGATTGGATCAGTAAGACCAACTGTTTACCTCTTAACACTAAGTAAGATCAGCAATCACAGACTCTTAATTATAAGCGTTGATTAAATCAGGGAGTTCATTAATTAAATCAGGGGTTACAACTGATTAACTCACAAAGGATTGGNATTCTGGGAGTTGAAGTCCACAGGGCTTCAAGTCGACGAGGTTGAGAAACATTGCCTTAAACTCACCACGGAACTAACTGTATTCTTATTTATTAAAAGCATTTTAAACTGCCTGACAGCTGAAGCTGTTTACAAAAAAGCATCGGACACTGGTTTTTCTTTTTTTACAACTTTTAAACTAAATTCTCTTTGCAATCCGGAAAGGCCTGGGACATTCGAACCCACCACAGGGCACGTGATGGAGAAAACCACTCGGATGTTTGCGTCTTGTTGGGCGGGTGGGGGGGCGCACAAACCTTGAGGAGTTTCAGGGCTCGGATCACCCCGCTGTGCCGCAGGTGGGGCCCCCGGCAGAGGTCGACTAACGTCCCGCATCTGGAGCACGGAAAAGAGGAAGCGGGATCAGGCCACGCGGAAAGCAGGCCAAGCTGAGTCCTTTTGAGGGTTTGTTGCAAAACTCACGAGAATTACAGCTGCCTTTTTGTCAATCGAGTCATCTGAACACTCGCCAGGTTTCTAGCCCTCATGGGCGTGTGTGAAGCCCCGGCAGGATTTGCTAAAGCATGTGTTTCTAGACACCCAGAGCAAGGTTGCAGGGCGGTCTGGCTTGTAGGTAACTCCAGCAAGCTGAACATGGACACCGAAGAGGCCTGGGGGAATCCTCAGGGGCTGTAGATCTGGGGAGGGGGCCACTGGGCAGCCACCACCCCCCTCCCTCCCCACCTGCCGCAGGGCCAGGCAGGCTCACCTGTACACGGTGGCAGTCCGAGACTTCACCCGCCGACCGATGATATCCAGCTTGAACCGGTTGTGCTGAAAGGCAGGAAGAGAAACCGATTCCCATCGGGGCTGCCGAAGGACACAGGGCCCCCTCCCCATTGATTCGTTTTCTTAAGGGTCTCACAGAAACCCTCTCCACTGCCTCAAAGGCGGCAGAGCCAGAGGGAAGCCAGCTCATCTGCCAGCTCATCTGCCCCCATCCCCACCAGGATGGGTCAGCGGCTTGAGGCTGAAGTCCAGGGCAAACATGGCTGGACTAAGTATCAAACCTTCCCCAGTTTAAAAGAAGGAGCATTTCTTCTCCTCCTGGGGCAAAATGCAATAGCAATAGCAATTGTTGGACTTATATACCGCTTCATAGGGCTTCCAGCCCTCTCTAAGCGGTTTACAGAGNCAGAGATGTTACGCATCAGCCACGTGGCTGGTTTTCTTCAGCTGCAGGAGAAAACAGGAGGTTTTTTTCCCAGGGAAGCATCAGGCCCAAACTAGGGGGGGGGGGGAGACGACAGGGACATAAACTAAAGCCCCCCCCCTCCCAGGATCTCCAGACCATGTATGTGGGGAAGGGGGGGCTATAAAGCACTCGTTCGACAGACAGAACTGAAAACTCAAACTTTTTCCTACTATGAACCTCAAAACGTTGACGTTATAAGTAACAGTCCCCGACTGCTATGGGAAACAGGGCTCCCTTCTTCCAGGTGCTTGACTTAAGGGGGGGGGGAAAACAACAACTGCAAAATATTGGCTCTGGGAAGCAGACTTCGTACAAGGAGAAACAAAGAGAAAATTGCTTTTAAAAAAAGAAGTCAATTGTAAGAATTGCCCAGGGCTTACAACAGGGAAAAGAGAAGAGGGGGGGGGGGGCATGGAGAGGTTTGTCCAGGAATTCTGAAATCCACGCAGTGTTATCAAAACTGTACATCTTATTGTAAACACCAGGGCTGAAATACACGTGCAATAATGGCACAACTGAACTATATATTTTTTTTAAAAAATACAGGGTTCCTGTTGATTAAAGGGGAGGGGGGAAAACTACAGGATTAAGAGACTTTGAAGTTTGGAGGGTTTTTTTTCCAGAAAGGAAGGAAGGAAGGAAGGAAGGAAGGAAGGAAGGGAGGGAGGGAGGAGCAGGGCACTCTAATTCTTGGTTATTTTCACTTTGTTCATTCCAAAGAGGCCATGGGCACAGCATCTCCTTGAGGGTGGGGTGGGGGGAATCCCCCACCTCCCATCCCTGCATCCATTTTTCCACCCCTCCCCTCCCCTTTTAAATTTCAAATCTCTCCGTCACCACCTCTGTGGCTCCCACCAGCTGGATTTTAGGAAGAGGGGAAAGAAAAAGAAAGAAAGAAAGAAAGAAAGAAAGAAAAAGGAAGGAAGGAAGGAAGGAAGGAAGGAAGGAAGGAAGGAAGGAAGGAAGGAAAGAAAACCAAAGGGAGAGAAAAGCTCAGGGGGCTTCCTTTTGGTGAGGGGGGGGGGGCTGATCTGCATGGACCTCCTGACTGAAGCCAGCCCACTCCTAAGGCTTCTGGAGGGGAAGGGGCAGCAGAGGCCTCCAACCAAGCAAGACCTGGTCTGGGTGAGGGGGAGAAGGTGGGTTTGCCCCACAGGACCTGCCCTGCCCTCTCCCCCCCCTCCACTCCCGCTCAGCTCCCACGAGCCACAAGCCCCCTCACCCCAAGAAAAGGCAGAGCAGGGCCTGGCTACTGCCCACCTTCTGGTCTCCTGTCTCCAGACAAAAGAGCCATTGAGTCCATCAGAGAATTCTGGTCCTCAGCGACTGGAGACGGGCCTGAGAAACGGTCAAAAACCTACAAGACTGCAAAAGAAAAGAAAGATTAGNTGCACAATCATGATTGGTCCCCATTGGCTATGTGAATCCACCCCTCCCTTGTGTATGATCAATAAAAGAGGACCCCCGGGCTCTGTTCCGGGTCGGTTCATCCCGAAGGGAATTCGTGTCCGAGTGTTCCTTCCACATTGGCTTCATGAACGACCCGCGGAGAAATCGCAGCAACCCCCCACCCATTTCCCTCTTTCCCAAAGAAATGGGCCCCTTCCTTGCTCCTCACCTCTTGGCCGGCCTGAGAATCAAACCCCAGGAACTCCACAGTGGCGTCATCCTCCAGAGGACGGTCCAGGTCATGAAGGATTCCGTTCACACGGGCCGTTACCACGGCCTTGGCCAGACTCTGGCTGGGGTGGGGGGGTGGGGGATGACGACAAAGGAGAGTTTAGTTTCATTCAGATCAATGAACGATTTAAAAAAGAAAACACCCATTTGCCTGGAATAAATAAATGCCACTCCGTGAGGAAAGAAAAAAAGTATCTCGGGAATCTGTTTATAGGAAACATTTTGCAAAGGGCTGTTTTGAGTGTTTTAAGGCTCACCTGATCTGCAAGGCCAGCTGATAAGGGGTGGTAGTCCAGGACTCGCACTCGACGCTTTGGCCATCTGGCAAGGAGACCAAAATTGGACGCCTCTCCCGGAGGGTTCGCTCTGCTTGGCGCTCGTCCGCAGCAGCCTTCAACCTCTGGAACAAGGCCAGGCGCTCTGCAACTTGGGACGGAAGAGATGCTGTCTAGGAAAGGAGAGAGAGAACAGAAAGGGGACCACCATGAGAGTCTTGTGCGGGAAAGACCCAAAGACACAGCCAGACTCAACATATGAAGAGGCGAACAATTGGGAGGAGAAGTGAACATGCCAACTTCCAACCCTCTCCCCCAAAATCTGCCTTATTGGGCAGTCCTGAACTTGCACATACATATACATATATATACATACATACTGCCTTTATTGCCATTGTACAAAATAAATGCAACGAAATTTGCATGCACCAGCAAAAAAGAGCACTTAAAAACCCAGCCAGACTTCAGGTCCAGCCTTCCCGGTTGAATGCCTGCCTGTCACGCCCTGGAACCTCTTGGAACCGCCCCGGAAAAAAAAAGAAAGGCAGCGGACCGTGTATTCTCGGCGGGGGCCGCCCCTCCTCGCCCAGATCTTCTTCCAGGCGCGAAGGACCCGCATCTCTCGGGGAACCCGCGTCCCCACGTGCAAAACCCGCGCGTCCTTCCCCGGGGCGACCCGGACACGCGAAGCCAGGCAGCGGGTGGGCGTGGCCCAGCCTGCGCAAAAAAAAAAAAAAGGGGGGGGAAGAGCGCGGATTGGTTGCGCGGCCGGCCAATTAGGCTCTCCCGCGCGCGCCAGCCCCGGAATGAGGGACGCCGTTGTTTTCTTTCCGCCCCTGCAACAAAAACCCGAGGAAACGAACGTTCCGGTCTCGTTTGGAGCGGTAGCCTCCCGCTATCCCCCCACCCAAAAAAGATATTTTTAAGCAATTTAGGACTCCCTCAACGCCGCCCTGAATGTGCTTTTAACTAATTGGGAGAAAAAAAAAGGGATCTTCCTAACTGCTGCAAAAGGCAAATTGAAACCTGCGCTCCCCCCCCCTTGGAGTCGTCCCCCCTTTTGAGGAGGGGGGATTAAAGGCACAAGGCCCCTCCCTCTCTTGGACTCCACCAGATGCAACCGTCAGCTTTCAGCCCTGAGTTCCTACCAATACTGGCTTCTCATTGCCCTGCTTTCTCCTTTATTATATTAAAGCAGGGGCGTCCAAACTTGGGAACTTTTAAGACTTGTGGACTTCAACTTGAGTTGAAGTCCACAAGTCTTAAACTTCCCAAATTTGGACACCCCTGTATTAAAGCCTGTGCAAAGAAGACCTGCCTGCCTTTCTCAGGCTTCTAGAGATCCCCCAAATGCCTGACAAGGCCACTGCCCATCTTAGCTCAACAGGGCTTTCCCCACAGAATGCGTTTTTACAATTGCATTCTTGGGACCCAAGAAGAGAAAAAAAGAATCAGCAAAATGAATCAGTCCATCCACTGAGCAAGCAGTTTACTCCCAGTCTATCACAAAGCATAGAGTTCCTTCAGAGAAAGACACCACAAGAAACCATCCAGACGGTGCCTTCCTTCCCTGATTCACTTCTAAACTGGTAAGCGCGAACGGACATAAAAAAAACCAAGGTAACAATCAGATGCCTGTCTTGATAAAGTAGGGAGAAAAGAACGCAGAACTACGTTGCACAAGCAGAGCCGCGAATGATAGCCGTGACATGAAGCAGAGATCCTGTTGGCATTACGAATCCATTCAAACAATCAAAGGGGAGAGAACAAAGTCGAGCCAAGGTAGATGTGGAGGTTGCTAGGTCTTCCCATCACACATCATCACATACTTGAGCCAGGGATTACACAAAATCAAGCAAATTACACTGCAGCCCTGGATGTCACGTGCACAGACCCTGGATTGGCAGCAATCATGACAGCTCTGTGGGCCAAGTCACAGCCAAGCAATTCCCAAGGCGCCTCCATCACACAAATCCCAACTCGGCATCTCCAGGCACTGCCACAAGGTGTCACTTCTGTACCCCCTTCCCACCCAACCCCCTTCCCACATAGACAAAAGGAAGCCCCTCAGCGACTTCCCAGTTACAATCCTTGCCTTGAATCCCATTTGCAATCCATCTCAAAAAAAGAGCCCTTAGCTTCTTCTCACCCAGAACTCCCCCCCAAATCTACAGAGGGCAGCCGAGGGCTTTGGCATGCACTCACGCCTAACTCCTATCTACGTGCCACACGGCCTGGTCCCTCCAAGCAAGCCTAACATCGCCCTGGGATTTCTCCCAAATTCCAGAGGGCCTTTTCCCTCGGTTCTCCTCCCAAGTCCAAGGTTTCCATCCACACATTTGTTTACCTTTGCAGATCAGTAGAAAATTCTACCATGCAATTGTGCTCAGAATTGTAGCTTTAATGGGCCTTCGGCAACAATTCCACCCCATCATTTCCTCCTGCAGCACTGCAGCCCCTGGCTTCCCCCTTCAGCTAATGTGACCCCAGGCTGCATTCCCACAACACATTAAGCCAGAAAAGCATCCAGCCCCTTAAAACTAACCCAGGTCAGCTAACGGCATCAACAGAAGACACATTGGCTTCGCTGGCTGGGCCTTTCTGCACCTTATAGCAACTCTCTGGAAGCAGCAGAATTATTTTGAGCCTGTCTTTGGCCAATCCAAATAAAGCAGATCCAGCAATACAAAGTTTAACGAAGTTTAAACACAAGGGGTTCAAAGTGAAGTGTGCTCCGCCAGTTTACAAGTCAGGTGGCATTTTCAGTCCTGGCCAACTTTCTAGCGCCCGTCTTCAAGGAAGTGGAGGAGGGCATGGTCAAAAGCATTAACAGCCATCAGCCTCCTGGCTTCGCTCACTCCAAGGTGGAAAGTGGAGGCCAAGCAAAGAAGCAGGCCTCCTCCTCCTCCTCCTCCCTAAGATCCTGTCCCAAAGGTGCTTTTCAAAAATCAACTGGGCTTTCTTGGTCTCTTTCCCTGAAAACATTCTCATCCAATAAGCTTCTTCAGGGAAAGCCAGTTATTCAGTGAAGAACTGAAGAAGCTACTTGGATGAGAGGCAGGATGTTTTCAGGGAAAGGAAATAAGAAAAGTCCAGTTGCCCCTTGAAAATCACCTTTGGGACCACCATGACCTGGAGGATTGAGAATCTCCACAGGCATCCTGGTTGCACCCTTCCCCAGATCACCAGCCCTGGGACCCGTTTGCCATACAGTGCCCAAAATTAAAAGTGGTTCTTTCGCCATTTGGTTCTGCCGTCCAAGGACGCCAGGAAGGCGATTTTCTCACAAAGTTTTGCCAGCACCTGAACTCTCCCTGGCAAAACTGGTGAAGTGCCTTTCCGTATTAGCAGAAGCAGCCCAAGTGTGGCAGAGGCTGATCCCAAACGAACTGGGGCCATGGGAACACCTCACCTGCCGAAAGAGCACTGATTTGAGGAAATGTTGTGGAGGCCCTGTGGCGCTTTCTCACTTTTTTGAGTGTTTTCTGCAACCCGAGCCATAAATATTGGACCAAAATGAGAAGCGGGAGGATTCTATGGGCGGCTTCCATATTCCAGGTACATATACTCAGCAGCACAACTAGAATGGGGGGGGGGGAGCATGGGAAAGGAACCCAGCGCTCCCATCCTCCTAAGAGGAATTCCGGGATCCCCCAAAGGCACCTTAAGAGTGCAGAGCTACATGTCTGCATAACACGTTTGGGTGGAATGTGCAGCCCCAGAGCCTCTCTCGAAAACAGCTCTCCAAATAACAAAAGGACAAGGCTATTTTTCGGCCTTGGACTGGGAACAGAGGGCCGATGTGTTGTCAATCCAGATTCAGGTTAAGTGATTTGCCTTCCTGACGCGGCCCCAATTATTTCACAGCAAATGCCTATTTTCCTGCCCGAAATTTGGGTTTCCATGAAAAGGGCTGCACTTGGCACCAGAACAACCCTCCACCCCCCCCCCCCATGAAGGCCCAAAGAGCCAAACCATAACAAGCCAGAACGCACGACTGCAACCCTGCGTACCCCACACCTCCCCCAGCCCCTTCCTGGCAGTTGGGAGCAGATGACGGTGACAGCAGCTTGCAACCCACATTTCTCCCCACTCATTCAATGGTGTTTTTTTTTGCTTTCCCTCCACCCGAGCAGCGGCTCCCTTCCATCCCATCATGGTTTTGTTTTTAAGGATAAAGTGACAGCTTTTAATAAATATATAAAAATTAATAAATAACAGCAACATAGTTGACAACAGAAAAAGGCGAAGGAAGGTTAGGCTGAGAGGCAAGCGAGCCGTCCTGCATTTCGGACATCAACTCAGAATCCGTTAGAAGCCGGGGAAGAAAACGGTTCAAGTTATTGCAACATCCAACCACAAAGCGGATCAATCACCGGACAGCCGAGGGCGGAAGGACTGCCGGCCCTCGGGCTCTAGGAACGGAGGCCACACCAGGTCAAGAACACTTTTATTAATATGCGCTACAAAAATAAGGGGAGGACGGCCGTCGAGTCGCCTCCGAGGTGCCTCGCTTCTCTCTGCAAACGGCACCCGTTCCAAACTATAGACAATATGCACAAATCAGGACAGTCTAAACTCGCCGGGAAACGTGCCTTGTGGATCTTGTGGTGGTGGTGGTGGGCTGCCCACGAGTCTTCCTTCTGTGATGGTTCTCTGCCCCACCCCGCCCCCCACCCCAATTTGCATCACAGCCACTTCGTGCCTCTGCAGGTCTTCTCCGGCAGGCGGGCAGGTGGGCGAGGAGGGGCCTTCCGGCTTGAATTCTACTCTGCAAAGCAAGAGATGGGAAGGCAGGCGGGCAGCACCTGCTCTCCGGCCACAGGGGTAGTAGCCTTGCGTACCTGCTGGATACCTGTGGGAGGGCTTATTTACAAGAAGAATATCAAAACCTTCAAACTAGCCATTTTATTAAATGTATTCATGTACAATGCAGAGACTGCTGTGTCCCACAGAGATTCTCCAGTCTCCCTCCCTGTTTCTACCCCCTTCCCCACCCCCCACCCCCCACACAAGAAAACACTGGAAAGTAAGTCAAGCCAACACAATACCCAGATCTTTAAACAGGCACAAAAATAAAAAGCACAGCAAATGGTTATTTACAGTGTTTTCCAAAGGGCGAGTCTGGGTTTGCTCCCCCCCTTCCTCATTTTAAATATTGCCCTGCAGGCATCTCTCTCTGCTGATATCCAATACCCTCCCCCCCCCAAATGACCTAATTTGATGGAAGGGGGCTCTCCCCACCTTCATAAAACTTCCCTTGGAAGCTCCTGATCCCCTGCCTCCCAGTTCCTCCCCAGAGACGCTGGCGGTTCTCTGGGAAAACAGGGAAAGGCTGCAAAATTTAATTTCTGTTGTCCTCCAGCTCCTCCGGACCCTTCCGGACCCCCCCTCCAGTGAAATGCAAAAGGAACAGAGAAGCAAAGGCAAAACAAGCCAGATGGGGAAGCGTCCCCTCCTTCCGAAGGAGCCTGGTTTGTCTTGCTACTCTCTACACACATCGTGGGTATGTTCGCTGCCTGTCCCTTAACAGGGAACGGTTTAACGTGAAAGCATGAAACCTGGGGACAAAAGAAAATGGCCGGGGCTTGGGGGGAGAGAAGACGACACAGTTTCACCATTAAAAGT